CCTAAACGAAAATTTTCACACGTGCCGCTCACAGAAATAAACCACCACATATCACGTACGAAATATTACTGCATTTACTGCGGCAGTGGCTGTCGCTGTTGCAGCCGCAAAAGCCCCTATCTTCGTTTAGTTGGTCACGTGCCTGATTAGCCAATAAAAACAAAGGACGCATCTAATTGTTCGCTGTGCACACAATTTGTATATGAGGTTGCATATATTAAGGAGCGTAGCTCGCGTCGCAATAAATAATAATATAAGCTCCTAAGTTTATTTTAGCGCGAGTACATTTGGACTCTTTAAATATTTTGTTGATATTTAATATGATTAAATACATAAAATTTTATGTGTTCTGCAGCTCCGCAGCTCTTATGGTAAAACCGCCACTGTGTATTATCATTTTCATTGTTCAAATACAATTTTTTTGAGCTTTATACCGTTCGTTCTTATACATAAATGTCTAGCCATTATCTCGATAATGATATTCCTTTGTTTACCTCATTTTCTTATTCTTTTGAAAGTTTGTGAAACTACGCTTTTTCACATAAAGTATATCTCGGCACATCAAGATCAATATGTAGCGGTTTTTTTTTTAGACATCGCATCGGTTCGACAAAAATACTGGTCCAAAGGACGATGTTATCTTTAATTCTCCACTGTCGTAAATAATTCATAACCAGCGGACGTATAAATGAAAACCCCTATAGAGAGGGTTTAATCAAGCGTTTCCTTTTTGTGTCCTTGATCCAGTTTCGCTCCACGTTACAGATAAATACAAAGGACTGTTCTTCTTCGATAGTATAGTACAGGCTGAGCCTGATGTTTTCTTTGGTTCGCGGTTCTTTTTTGTTAATAAATATGAGAAACCTCCGAAGAATACATATTGTCAATAATAGTGTTCGGTACGATATGAGAGAAGTCAATTCATTTATAATATTGTTCAATACAAGGAATAGAAATTGAAACCCCGTTTCGTCCAAAGTAGCAAAATATTCATTGTCTTTTATACTCCAGTATGTCTTGTAAAATAAAACAAATATTGTACAAATATTAAATAGTTCGCTTTTTCATGGCGAGAGCTATATTATAGCAATTCAAGAAAAAATAACACTAAAACATTTGAAAATAATTTTATATATTTTTATAATAACACAGAACAACAAAGTTTAACTTTTTTTTGGAAGCAGAAACTTGAATATATATTTCCGAAAGATTTAGGTGCGCTGAATCCGAATCTGGCAGCAGAATTGCTCTATCACGTCAGGTTTTTGAGATATCCTAACCTAAAAGTGCAAAAAACACTGTTTTTCGTCATATTTGAGGTTATGTAGTAATCCCATCTATTCTTTTTCAAAAAACTAATACATTGAATTTAAAAGTACAAGGCTCCCTCCTTCGAATGCCGTTGAGTTTGCTCAAATATCTTTTTTTTTTTCGTTGAGATATCACATGTTGAAATTTTTAAGTTTCTCAGTTTCTTAATACGCGAAAATCTACTAAGGATCCCTTAGACATCAAGCAGTCGATTGCAATTCAGAAACTTCATACCCATGCGGTTTTGTGGGTTTGGAGTTGGTGGGCTTGGGATTTGTAAGCTTGGAGTTTGTAGGTTCGGGTTTTGTGGGATTGGGGTTTGTAGGTTTAGGGATTGTGGGTTTGGGGTTTGTGGATTTGGAGTTTGAGTTTGAGGTCGTATGTATTGAAGGTTTCTGAGTATGAAGTTTCTGAACTGCAATCAACTGTTTGACGTCTTAGGGATCCTTAGTAGATTTTCGCATATTAAGAAACTGATAAAAAAAAGATATTTGAGCAAACTCAACGGCATTCGAAAGAGGGAGTCTTGTACTTTTAAATTATATGTATTTTTTTTTAAGAATAGATGGCATTACTACGTAACCTCAAACATGACGAAAAACAGTGTTTTTTGCACATTTAGGTCAGGATATCTCAAAAACCTGACGTGATGGAGCAATTCTGCTGCCAGATTCGGATTCAGCGCACCAAAATCCTTCGGGAATGCATATTATGTAGTGTGTCTGCTTCTTGACCCTTGCTGACCAGTGTAATTTATACTTCGTGTGTATCATTTGCGGTTTAATTTTGTTGATGTTGTATGTTGTTTTGGAATAATTTAAGACGTCTAGTACTGATTTAACTGAAATGCTGAATAAGAAATAGAAAAAAAGAGTAAGAACATAATATATGGTATAACTTTTTTAAAATACTTGTTTTAACTCTCCTAAATACGCCCCTGTACAATTTTATGAACACTGCTGTGACTGCGTGCAATTGCTTACTTCGTTTGAGAATGTAGTGACCGTGGTATATTTCACCTAAACTAGGTTAATGTCAGAGATCATTGACAGAGATTCACAATACAGTAACATAAATAGTAACAAATAATTTTTGTTGAAAACTTTAAATTAAAAAAAAAATAATTCAAATCTTATCAAATAAGTACCAAAGTATTTTTTGTTTATTTTTTATTATGGACTTAGTCCAGTTACACCCTGTATTTATCAGAAGACAACAAAGTAAAAATTTACATATTTCAGTAAATCTGTAAAAAAAATTATTTGTTTTGAAATATGCAAAAATTTGATAATTTTTTTCAGATTTATTGCAATAAGAATAAGCCAATTTCTATTTTTTTTTGTAATGAGAAACATAGGCCCCGATATTTGATTTCTAGACTGAAAATGTAAAATAATTATTTTTTACTCATATAATTTACATAAAATTGTGTTGTAAAAACCTGAAATAAAATTTAAAAAAGAATTATATCAGATGAGTAATTTTATTTATTCTTAATAATACAGGGTGATTCACAAACGGTGACCAAAAATGAAACATCGTATTCTTTGATGAATTTTAAGGAGATTTTCGTATAAAATTTTTATCTACGACGCTTTGTTAAAAAGATACAGGGTGTTAAACTTAGACAAATATTTTTAATTTTTTTAAATAATTTAAAACCTAGTAAGTGAAAAAATTTGAAATTGGTACATGTATTTATGTAAACATTATCCAAAATCTGAGACCTTTTCCTAAAATTTAGATGCTCCAGTAGCGGAGGTACTGGGTATCGCTGGTATATTTTTCTAAATAAAATAGTACGCCACTACTTTACGGTAAAAATAATATTTTCGGATTCGTCTTTCAATTTTCTACAAATTACTACCCAAAGAATACGAGGTTTCATTTTTGGTCACGGTTTGTGGATCACCCTGTATAACCGTATACAGGGTGGTCCAGATTTTAATAGACAAACTTCGGGAAAGTACTAAGCAACAAAAATTAACATCACTTTGCTCTATGAACATAGGCGCAGAAAGCCACCGTTTATGAGATACAGGGCGTTGAAATTATCAAAAATAAAACAATTTCTGGAAAACCGCTTCATCAAATTTATCCAAATTTGGTGTGCATTTTTTTTCCAATATTTCTCCTAGTTCTGTATGCACACAGTCCAAATCCAAAAACCAGTGGCGGAGAAACAAGGACGTTGTTTCCTTATTTACAATTAGAGTAAAACTTCTACGCCACTGAATTAATTGGTAATATGAATACATTTTATAACGGTCTGAAATATTCCGGATGAAAAAACATTATTTTATTTTTTGTCGAAAAGTTAATGGTTTACGAGTTATGAGACAATGAGACATATTATCCAAGTAAATAAAGCGTTGAAATAGGAAAAAATAAAACGAATTTGGGTGGTCCAGATTTTTAATAGACAAACTTCGAGAAAATACTAAACAACCAAACTTAACATCACTTTGCTTTATGAACATAGGCACATAAAGCCACCATTTGTGAGATACAGGGCGTTGAAATTAACAAAAGTAAAACAATTTTTTTAAATATCTGAAAAATCGCTTCATCAAATTTATCCAAATTTACTACAAACTTTTTTTCAAACATTTCTCCTAGTTCTGTATGCACACAGTCCAAATTCAAAAACCAGTGGCGGAGAAACAATGATATCGTTTCCTTATTTAAAGTAAAACTTTTAAGCCACTGAATTAATTGGTAATATGAACACATTTTACAACGGTCTGACACATTCCGGGTGAAAAAACACTCTTTAATTTTTGTCGAAAAGTGAATGGTTTAAGAGTTATGGGACATATTATGATGCGGTTTTCCAGGTATTTAAAAAAATTAGTTTATTTTTGTTAATTTCAACGCCCTGTATTTCATAAACAGTAGTTTTCTGCGTCTATGTCCATAGAGCAAAGTGAAACTTTCCCGAAGTTTGTCTATTAAAATCTGGACCACCCAAATTTGTTCTATTTTTCCCGATATCAACGCTTTGTTTACTTGAATAATATTAATATGTCTCATAACTGTAAACCATTCACTTTTCGATAAAAGTAAAATAATGTTTTTTCATTCGGAATGTGTCAGACTATTATAAAATGTATTCATATTACCAATTAATTCAGTGGCGTAGAAGTTTTACTTTAAATAAGTAAACGACATCCTTGTTTCTCCACCACTGGTCTTTGAATTTGGACTATGTGCATACAAAACCAGGGGAAATATTTAAAAAAAAAATGTGTACCAAATTTGGATAAATTTGATAAAGCCGTTTTCCTGATATTTAAAAAAATTGTTTTATTTTTGTCAATTTCAACGCCCTGTATCTCGTAAACGGTGGCTTTTTGCGCCTATATTCATAGAGTAAAGTGATATTAATTTTTGTTGTTTAATAGTTTCCCGAAGTTTGTCTATTAAAATCTGGACCACCCTGTATAGTTTTTTAACGGCAAAAATAATTATTTTAAAACGTAAATTAGTTTTGTTTACAATTTAATTAGTAACGTATCTACGTACCAATATAAGTTAATGTGTAATAAATCATGTAAATAAATTTGTTTTTGTTTAATGTTCGTAGCTTCGTCCACAATGATATCAAAATTAAAATGCCACTTTTTATGTAAATACCTATATAAATTGCGCGTTTAATTAAAATTATTAACATGAGACCATCTCCGCAGGTCCATGGGCATCCTTCTGCCACCCGTCACCCAGGTGACCACCGCCAGCAACACCCACCTCACCCTGCACCACCGCAACCGCAGCCTCGACTCGGCCCTCCAGAGGATACCCGAGGTGGACGTCACTCCCAGCCCGGAGTGCGAGAACGTCGGCGTCGTCGCCGTCACCGGCATCCTCTGCAACGAGGTGCACACATGCCCCGCGTCTTCCAAGCAGCGCGACGAGCTGGCCAGCCTCGGTTCCGACGACTCGGGCATCCTCTGCGGCTCCGATTCCGGCTCAAGCGACTCCAACACCACCAGGGAGTCGAGCGTGGAGTACCTGGGCCAAAACAACGAGAGCCGCGAGAGCCTGGACAACCTGGACAAGCCGGAATGCGAGAAAGCCGACGCGGACGATGTCGATCAGGACGCCAGTGATCGGACTAAAGTGTGTGATCAGAGTGACTCGGCGACGGCCCCCAAGAGCACGGGTATGCTAAGGCTGCTCGAGAGCAAGGTGTTCGACGTCTCCATGGCCATGCACTACCTCTTCAACAGCAAGGAACCGGGCGTGCTGTGCTACATCGTCAACAAGATGTTCAGTTTCGAGGACCAGGACGTGGACTTTTACCTGCCGCAGCTGGTGTGCATGTACATCCAGATGCACGACGTCGCTGAGGTCATACATCGGTACCTTATCCATAGGTGAGTCCAGGGTTCATAAATTTTATTCACGCTGTCGATTAAAGGACTTAATAAAATTTAGTTATCTACGATCGTATAAGATTTCGCTGTTTTTTTATGTATCTAATTTCCAGAGTAAAAAATTTACTTTTGTAAGAGACTGTGCAATAAAAATGCAATGCAAATGTGCAATAAAATTTTTATTGCAGGATTTCAGTTAAATGTTGTATCAGTAAGAACATCGGTACTTTATTCCATTATTCACTTTCAACGAAACCGACACAAATAAGTTTGCGTTTTTGACTCTTAATCAGGCAAAGATGTGCGAGATTGAGAAAGACCGCACTCGGCTAGAAGGAATAAGATGTAGAAGTGTGTCCAGTACGCATGTGTGGGTGAAGCTATCTCAGACGCAAACTTATTTGCGTCAACCTGTGCAGGGTGATCGATTTAACTGGAGAAATGAGTTTTTCTGGGAAACGGCTGAGAAAAATAAATTATTTTAGAAACTATTACATTTCTGATTACTTTTACATGAAGATAGGGTTAAAATACAGAAATTATCTTTACGACGCTAGGCGTCGCGGCGCTTCAAAAATTTTTTCCCCAGCAACATACATTTTTTAATATGTCACGATATCCCTTAATTTTGAATATTTTAGGTCTTTTACGATTTGCTCCGAGAACCCCAGATCTAACCCCTCTTGATTTCTTCTTGTGGGGAGCCCTAAAAAATATTGTGTATAAAACTAAAACAAACAGTATTAATCATTTGAAGCAGAAAATCACTGCTGCTTGTGCTGAAATACGTGGCAATATTTAAAAAAAAATTACGTCCAGTGAACTAAGAAAACGTTACGAATTGTGTTTAAATAATAATGGTGCTCACATTCAACAGATATTATAACATTGAGTATTGTGTTTATTTATTTGGTCTTTCTTATATGATAGGTGGGTTTGTAATTCCTACAAATTAATGTAATTGTTGTATACATAATTGTGTTATTAAATTGTTTATAGTGAATACGTTTTTTATTGTAAATAGAACCATAGTTATTGATATATTGAAGCAGCAAGAGCATTGAAAAAGATCTATATCGCTGACTACGTCGTTGCAATAATAATTATGAGATAGAGAAATTCTCTAGGGAATTGCCCGTAACTTTTTAAATAATGGGAACATAAAAAAATGTTATATAGGAAAAATATTCAAAATTAAGGGATCTTTATCGTGACATATTAAAAAATGTATGCTGTTGGAAACAAAAATTTTGAAGCGCCGCGGCGCCTAGCGTCATAAATATAATTTCTGAGTTTCTGTCCTAATTTCTAGTAAACGTAAGCTAAATTAAATAGTTTCTAAAATAATTTAATTTTCGAATTTCTCGGCCGTTTCCCAGAAAAACTAATTTCTTCAGTTAAATCGATCACCCTGTACAGGCTGATCACTATATTTTAACCCCCCCCCCATTAACTTTTTTATTTTAAGAGTTTAAGTGTTCGAAAATGATAGCAGAGAAACAAATGAAGCCCAAACAAAATGGCTGCGGATGTTAACTTTGTTCATTTAAATATAACACCCTGTATATTTTTACATATTTGGATAGAACGCTCCCCGAAGAGCAGTTATATTGGGTTTGTTGGGTCCACCTTATATTTTCTTAATAAAAAAACCTTTTCATTTCATTTTTTAATATTATGTCGCTTATTGTTAGAGGCGGACCAAACAAAGCCTATACGATTATGCTTGACAGGGAGCGTTCTATCAAAATAAGTAAAAATATAAAGGGTGTTCCATTTAAATTAACAAAGTTAAAATCCGCGGCCATTTTGTTTGGACTTCATTCGTTTTTCTACTATCATTTTCGAACACTTCATAAAAAATCATGCAACTTTCGTATTTCACATTTTTTATGTCTTAAAACAAAATAAGTTAAAGGGGGAGTCAAAATATAGTGAATCACCCTGTACATCTACTTCGCAATTAACACAATTTTCGATAAGTTGTAGGTAATGTTACCAACTTCTTGACATGGTAATTCCCACGTCAAAAAAATTTCTTTTTCCTCGTTCATCTTTATTTTTTGCCACATTTTTCCTTGTTTATTTAAAACTAAATATACATAAATAATTAATCTTCCATATGTATATTTATTAGAAATTGTATGTGACTATTCATGCCAAGGAAATTTTTCAAAAATTAAAACATTTATTTTTTTACCTGCTTTATATAAATAAATATATACAGGGCGTAAACAAAATGCCAAATTTAAACGGTAGATGCTCGTTACAAACATGTGCCTGGAAACGACTCGTTTTCGAAAAACGGGGTATTCGAAATTAATGAAAATATGTAATTCGTTTCAAATTATAAAAAACAAGAGGGAGGCGCTTAGAAAAAATAGTTTTTGATATTTTTACATTTTTACCAATAATTACCTAGACATGATCTAATTTTATAAATTACTTATCTCAAAATCGGTGTATCAAAATCTGATCACATATTATTTTTTTGTTAAAGCTATTACAGTTATTGAATTTTTTATAGCTTATGAAAATAGTCTTTTTTTTTCTATAAATTTATTTAAAACGGGATCATTCAACCATTTAATATTTAAATGCTGTCTTCTTTTTAGTTTAACATTTTTTTTTCTATACTCATCTTGAATTTTCTATATTTGTTTATTTTTCACAATATAACGAGCGTTCAAATAAAAACGTGGTCAAAGTTGGCTCTGACACATTGGACGTAGGGAGTAGCTTATAGCGACCAACTTAACCTCATTTCTCAACGAGCTGTATAGCAGCTGTCAGTTTCAATAACGTTAATGACTATATAACTTTATTTTAAAGAATAATCGTGATAACAATAACAAACAATTAAAGGAGCTGCGGAAAGTGTCCCCCTCCTTGTTATAACAATAAATTAAAATTTGTGATAAAACACGTACAGAAGTTCTTGGCGCATTTTCCATTATTTGTTGGACATTTTCTATTTATTCTTCAGTCCGCTTTTTAGGTCGGCCGCTTCCTTCTTTTCTTGTTACACTGCCCGTTTCACGAAAAACATTAACACAACGCTGAACTGCACTTTGAAAAATTTTGTACTCAACAACGCCGGGAAATTGATTTTGAAATTCTATGAAACATTCCTCAATAGAATACTTCCATATTCCATCAATCTTGCGTCCATTTCTAAAGTAGGACTCTGTGATAAACACTTTTTGTTCTTGAGAAAACACCATTTTAAACGCTTTTTAAAACGAAAATATTCAAATTGATAGCGGCGATATAGCGCTTTGACAGATGACGTTTAAGTTCATTTGCTATACGCTACGCCCTACGTCCAAATTTTCAGAACCAACTTGACCACGTTTTTATTTGAACGCTCGTTACTTATTTACCGATTATCATTTCATTACCGGTTATTTATCAGAAGCAGTATATATATATATTTTAACAGAACAGCCATGAATTAAAAAAAACAGAATATAAACCATGAACAAAAAATGTTTGATTTTTCCATAAACAAGAACATTGAAATAGCAAATAATAAAAATGTCAAGACTATTAGATATTAGGTCGCAATGACAATCATAGAAAGAGTATCTCCACATTGATAGGCAGTTTTTCCTTTTCCCCATTCACAGTTTTACATATAAGACCAACATATAAAAATTTCGTACCTGGGTGGATGACCGAACACACTCTACGTTGACACCGCAAGGGTCCTGTAGCAAGGCCCGCGCTGGCATCAGAAAATCGGCACTCTGGAAAAACGATCTTTCTTTGAATTGTGTCTATCTACGATGAGTTATTGATCTTTAAACTATTTTGGTTAATGTTGACCGTAAGGCCTTGCTTTGTTTCGAATTTCGTAAAATTTGTACAAAAATTGTCAAAAATTCGAAAGTTACGAAAATTTTCGCGCCCTCCTGCGCTGTCAGCGGCAGCTGAGCGATTAGGCGCATGCGTGGTCAGCATCGCCTACTACGACTGTAAGTTTTCGCGGCAATCGGGGCTTTGTAGAGGAATTTTTCGGAAAATTTGGAAACGTGCGTGATATTACGATTTGCGTACTAGGTCGTCTATGGTTTTGTAGTTTTGACGGAATTTATGCCTCGTAGATTAAGCGGTTTTTTAAAGGAATTTGGCTACACATTACTAAACTCCCTTATTTAAATAAAACGTCCTCTATGTTTTTCTTTCATTTGACAGATGCCTGGGTATCAGCGCATCATGTCGGAATAAAAAAAGATTGATGAAATTTAGAGTTACATCCGATCGACCGGAAACTGTTGATAAATGGAAACCAAATACCGCCAAATCTGCATTCCGGCCACATAAATAACTCATCCGCTGAAAACGTCAGAGGATTACATTTCGCGACGCCGAAAAACCACGAATTTTTTTTATCTCGAATGGGCGTACAAAAAATTAGCCCTATCTGCTCTTCGTTTTCTAAACTCATATCGAGACGTCGGAAAAAAAAACTATGGCTTTATTCATCGATTCCGGGTCTCCGGAACGCCCCGACAGAAGCGAAAACATCTGCGTTGCGGATAACGAACGTACGGGCCGAGGGGGTGGGGGGTGCTCTTTTGTTTGTTTTGTTTCATTTTTCGGCCCGGGATGACGATAGCGCCGCTTTCGGGTCTCTTTTGTTTGTTCGGGACCGTATCGAGTGACGCACTTCATCATTCCGGGCGTTTGTTAATATTTATAGGATAAGTTCGGCTAGGGTCTACCTTGTTTCGGGATGTACACTGAGAGAACAGATGGAAGAGTGCTTTAAACTTACTTCGTCTCGATTACGTTTCATGTAAATATAAATAATAATCGGCATCGGATTTTTAAGCGGGCAAACAAGGAATAAAATGGCAAAGTTATATGAAAATATTATAATGCTAATGACTAATTCTTCGTGGTAAGACGACAGGCGAATTGGATAGACATTATATCTGGTTATCAGTTGACGAAACACATGACGATCAGTTGCAAATATAATAAATAGTTGTACT